CATTCCCTGGAGAAGGATGTCATGCTTGGTAGGGTGGAGGGTCAACGAAAGAGGGGGAGGCCTTCAACGAGATGGATTGACATGGTGGCTGCAATGATGGGTTCAAGTATAGCAGGGATTGTGGGGCTGGCGCGGGATTCGGCAGTGTTTCATTCTGCGGTGCATGGGGGTCGCTATGAGTGGGAAACGACTCGACGGCACTTAACAACAACAACAACAAAGCAATAAGCAACACCATCATAAATGGAGAAAAAATTGAAGTTCCCAAGTACTTCCTTTTACTTGGATCTATAATGAACATCCATGGAGGCAGGAGTTAAGAAATCAAATGAAGTACTGCACTGGACAAATGTGCTGCAAAAGATCTTGTTAAAGTGTTAAAAAGCAAAGTCACTCTGAGGCTAAGGTGTACCAGACCATAGTATTTTCAATTGCTTCATACACGTGATAACTAGAAAATGAATAAGGAAGACCAAAGAACTGATGTGTGAAAAATACTGAATACACCATGGACTGTCAGAAGAACGAATAAATCTGTCTTGGAAGAAGTACAGCCAGAATGTTCCTTAGCCGTGAGGATGATGAGACTTTGTCTCACATTCTTTGGACATGTTATCAGGAGGGGGTTAGCCCATAGAGAAGGACCTTATGTTTGGTAGAGGGTCAGTGAAAAAGAGAAAGACCTTCAGAGATGGAGTGACAAAGTGACACCACCAATGGATTCAAACATGGCTATGTAAGGATGGCACAGGAATGAGCAGCATTTCATTCCATTGTATACAGGGTCATTATAAGTCAGAACCAAGTCAACAGCCTCTGACAATAAGTTAGTTATCTCTGCTATGATTGTTCATGAATTTCTCCTTAGCTTAGCATTTCATCAACATATCACTTATTTCTCATCCCAGTATAACAGTTCAACTGCCTATCTACTACACTAAGTTTTAACTTTCCTGAAGACTGTGAGGGATAATCATGTCCTTTATGTTTGTTTAGTCTTTAAAACTTCTAGAACACAGCAGGTGCTCACATTTGTTAAAAGGGAGCAACAACAAAAAAAAAAAAAAAAAAATTAAAATGATTATAGTTAAGAACTACTGAATAAATACTTGTTGTTCAACCCATCCCACCAGCTAATTCTTCCAGAGGTATATCTTCCTTTAAAACTATAAACCTCTCCTTAATGACCATTATCTCACCTCATACATTGCCATCTAGAGATAAAACCACTGAAATGCAAAGAAAGAAAATTTTCAGTAAGATAATTCTAGAAATCCTTATGTGCCTTCCAAGTCAAAGAAATGTTAAACACTGTACAAGATACAGTCCTGCCTCTGATACTTTACTATGCTACAATTCTACTTAAACATACACACACACACAAAATCACAACCAGAAACTCACTGCCATCGAGTCAATTCCAACTCATAGCTACCCTCACAGGGTTTCCAAGTCTGTATATTTTTATGGAAGCAAACTGCCTCATCTTTCTTCCAAAGAGCAGCTGGTAGGTTCAAACAACCAACCTTTAGGTTAACAGCCAAATGCTTTAACCACTACACATCACTAGAGTTCCTACTCTTATGTGGTTATCTGTAATTCTGAATATTCAATTACGCAGCATATAGTTTATTTACCCAGAATAAAAAGAAATTTTTCTATACTCAAATTATCACTTTCTAGCTAAAATACTCACATTTTCTATAAAACTAAGGTGATAAAAAGAATACTTGACTCATGGTAAGATCAGAGCCAGCACATAAATCGGCTCTATTATAACAGGAAGCTCTTACCAATGTACTTCTATAAAGGAAAACTGAACTGAGGTAAAGAGCTATTTGGTATATTCTAAAAATGTTACACTCTAGAGCCTGAACACAGGGACAGACACATACAGTATATGTAACAAATGATTAAATTCATTAATTTGTCATGTTTCCTTCAAAAAAGCATCATAACCATGGCATATGCAAAACAGACTATATAATGAAATATACTTAAAGACTAAGTTAAAAATTACAACCAGATCAATGATAAATTTATTAAAAGCAAAATTAATTTTTTTTAAAAATACTTACAGGTCCCATAATTGTGGCTTGCCAATGAAACACTAGAAAAAGAAAAATTCTTATTATTTAAAAATGCACAAGCTCTTTTGAAATTACCCTTAAAAATCAACTTGAAAGTTACTTACTATCGTCCCCAACTGGACCTGCAGAACACTGTGCCGGAGGGTCACGGGCCAAATCACTAAGTTCCTACATCAAGACAGAAAATGATGGGTCATATAACCTTAAAGGTCATGCAAATCACAATTCACATTCAACAATACATTACCTCAGGACATACAAATCTTGAGTAACCTTAGTACAGTGCCGGAAACGTGTTAAACATAATAGTTTAATGGACTTATGTTGAGAAAATCATCTTGGTTAGGGTTCATAAAAATATAAGTAAGTGAAAACACGAAAACACTGTCCCACATCCTACTTTGGCCAGTAGCAACTGGGATCTTAAAAGTTTGCAAGCGGCCATCCAGATGCAACAATGGATCAGTCTCTCCTCATCCAGAGCAAAAAAGAATGAAGAAAACCAAAGACGCAGGGAAACAATCATGTCCAAGCGACTGGTACACCATCCGATCCTCAACCTATATGACTAAGAGATCAAAAGAACCAGATGGTGCCCAACTAACACTGTCAACCACCTGGAGAGTGATCTATTAGGAGATACCAGATAGAGTGGGATAACAATGTGGAACAAAACTCAAAATCATTGTGGGGGGTGGGGGGTGGGAGAAGGGACCAGGTTTGCTGGTCTGATAGCACCTGATGAGACTATGGCCTCTAGCTACCCTTCAGGCCAACTATGGCCCCTAGTTACCCTTCCAGTCTGGAACTGAACCCATTCCTGTGGCTTCCAGTCAAACAAAAGACAGGCGTATGAGTTGAACATTAGCTAGATATACTCTTGGAGAGAGAAATCATGGGAGAATAGAAGGGCTGTGTGTGAACAGTGTGACAGATCAGGGGGCAGGAGTGCTGGGAGGGAAGGATACAAGTAAGAGGTAACTATGGGGAGGAAGTGGGAACAGGGCTGTTGCACTGTGGGAAATTGCAGTCAATATCATGAGACAAAGTTTATTTGAACTGCTGTACGGAAGATGAATTTGCTCTATAAACTTTTCCCCAAATCACAATAAAATTTTTTAAAAAGTATATATACGTGTAAATTTTTTGCCTGAACAAAAGCTCTCCTCTTACAAACTCAAAACAGTTACAATCAAATATTTTCATATCCTAAGAACTTAGACAAAGCAGTTTTCAATATTCATGTTACTGTAACTTTAAATTTGTTGGAATTACCAATTTAGGTTGAATTTTCAGACCATCTCAGAGGTCATCATTTCCACAGCTTTAAATTCTTAATTCTTCCTGAATTATATTTCACTGTTAGATCCACTGGCTTCTTTAAATCTACTGACCCTATTTCCACTTGAAAAATCTCTCTAAGGGCTAGGTATAGGTACCCTTTTCAGTTTAATCTTCCTATTCCCTCAACTTATTATTACCTTTTACTCAACATCCACTTTTAACTATTCTTAAAATTCTAATTCTGAAAGAACCTACTTCTCTAAAGAGAAAACAAAGAGTTTGCTCTTATAGCAAAATACGCAGTTTCCACAATTCCATCTGAACTAGTATTTCTAACAAATATTAAGCATTTCATGACTTGTACATAAAAAATATGGATAATCTAGTATGAAAAAGAAGTAGTTTCTTTACAGGTTTTTTTTTTTTTTTTTTTTGGTAAATACAGTGTATCTCCACTTTACCAACAATGCTGCCAATAATCATCAGCAACTAAAAATACGGTAGTACCAATGTTAATCTACAGGTGCCTTCAACGCTTTCAAATGAATTTCTTAAATTCAGTCTATAAATGCAAAAACAATTTTTTAAAAACATTACAACTGTGCTCAGGAACTGTTTTAATTTCTTTATCCCTTTGTCCAAATGTATAGGTAATGAACAAAGGGTAATGTTTGGGATTCAGTTTGAACACAAAACAGAGCAAAGAAATTGCGAAGAATTTATTATGCACAAAAGATTTAAGTATTAGAAAGCAGAACAGGATACAAGATACAGTAAAGAATTTATCTAACAATGTATCTAAAATGTCCAACTCCAAATATACTGATCTCCTCTTCCATTTACTATACTAGAACAATTCCCTGTAACTACAGGAATTGGATTAAGTGGAAATAAATTTCCACCAAACTAATTACATTCATTTTCTTTCAAATCAGATCTTTGCTTTCTAGTGCAAAATCACAAATATAAAATCTAAAATTTTCAGTATAAGCCCCCTAGAAGGTGTAGAACAGGCAGAGAAGTTAAATACCCCAATTTAAATACCACAATAATAATCACCACATGGAAGAATGTAAGAAAGTGTAGTATTTATTAACAAAGGAAATAAGTAAGTTACAGTTACTACAGAAGGAAAACAAATTTCACCCAAAACACACACATCTTTTTTTCCCTAAGGTTCCAGGAAAGCCAGGTCCTTTCAGCTTCTTTAGATCACGTAGTTAAAAAGCGCTCATCTGTGTATGGGTGTGTGTGTGTGTGTGTATGTAAAGGCTGAAAATGAAAACATTTTTAATGACTATCCATGTATTTATTGAAACCTCATGTACTTGACAATAGGGTTGCAAATGAGATTCCCAGTCCTCAAATGTTAAGACATTATATTGTATTTAAATGTCAATTATAATAATCACAGGTATCAAGAAATCATATTCCACTGGCAGTAGATAGCATGGGAGCTGATACCAAAAAAGGATTTTGACAAGCACCTCAGCAAGAGCATACTAAGCAAAGATTTAGTAAGAATGGCACTGACTTTCTACAAAGTATCAAAAATAGCCTTGCCAAGAAGTAGGCTAAGAAGAAAGGAAAAGATAAGAAAAATTTTCTTAAGATTAGTAAATGGTGGGCCATTTCTTATCAGTAATTAAGCATGTTCTATGAATCCAATTCAATAGACAAATAAAAAGTATGTAGCTTCTAATTCATCAGAAAGTATAGAGCTTTAAATTCACTTAAATCATAGATATGAAAAACCTAAATTGGTAATTCTAACAAATTTAAAGTTATCTCTAAGGTGACTTTCTTTTTTGCCTGGAGAAGTCTGTTTTCACCACTGTCCTGACATGCCATCTGGGTTAGTCTTTCTTAGGGGTTTTTCTTTTCTTTGGTAAGGTAGGTAAACATTAAACCAGTTGCCGTTGAGTCGATATGAATTCACCGTGACCCTGTACTTTCAACGTAGAACTAACTGTGCTCTACACGGTGTAGATCTTCAGCCTTTCTTCTGGGGCACCTCTGGGTAGTCTTGAACCTGTAACTTCCAGGTTAGTAGCTAAATGCATTAACCATTATTCCCACCCAAGGTAAATATCAGCTACATCAAAATACTCCAAGAAAGGGTTATTTACCCTTTTCCATACCCCCTACCCAAAGGTGGGGGGAGCCAGATTGGGACCCTTATATCAATTAACATAGCAGACCTTTTAACAAACATGTCTAAAATTCAAATGACAGACAGCAAACAGGGTCCTTCTGTCAGGCTGACATTTTTTTTGTACCCAGCATCAGATTTTTACACATTTCAGAGTATAGTTACTTAATATATAATTCACTGTGAATTGATATGACCACAGCTTTTCTTTTGATTGGTATGTACGACAACCACACGTGCACCCTTCCACATTTTCGCCTTGGCCTCATCTGCCAATGTAAAATGCATGTACAGTAAACAGTTAATACATCATTAAATCTGAAAAGACCAAGAAAAACCTGTCTTTTGTTTCCTGATTCTTTTCTGACAAATGGTAAATAAATAACACCTCCCTTTTAGGACAGCACACAGGACCCACTGATATGACAAAGTATGCCCAGAAACAAAGGCCTTATTATCAACCAACTTCTCCAATTTTGGGTGATGAAAATAATCAACATTGCTGCTGCTACTGGCTAATAGTTGTGTACCAATCTGGTGTGCTGTGGTAATGGTCCCTTATCACTGCCTGCAGAATGCATGAAACCACTAGGATAAGAATTGGCAGAGCTACAGGTAAGCATGGGAAATTATATGCATCAGAAATAAAGATGGAGCAGTCCTACCTTAGGAGTCATTCCTCTAGCACAGTGTATACCCACTGATATCTAGTCAATTCCAACTCACAGTGACCCACACTGGGTTTCTAAGGTTGTAGACCTTTACAGAAGTAGACTGCCTCACCTTTTTCCAACAGAGCAGCTGGTGGGTTTGAACCACTGATGTTCTAGTTAGCTGCCAAATGTCTTACTCACTACGCCATCAGAGGGCCTTTGCTGTAAAGTGCCATTGAGTCACTTCTGACTCATAACGACCTTACTTTACGTACAACAGAACGAAACACTGCCTGGTCCCATGCCAGCCTCATGATCCCTGCTATACCTGAGCCTATAGTTGTAGGCACTGTGTCAATCCATCTTGTGGACAGTCTTCCCTCTTTTGTTGACCCTCACTTTACCAAGCATGACATCCTTCTCCAGAGAATGGTCCCTTCTGACAAGATGACCAAAGTAGGTGAGGTAAGTCCAGCCATTCTCGCTAAGAAGAAGCATTCCGGCTGCATTTCTTTCAAGACAGACTTGTTAGTTCTTTTAGCAGTCCATGGTACTTTCAGTATTCTTGGCCAACATAACTCAAAAGCATCAATTCTTCTTTGGTCTTCCTTATTCACTGTCCAGCTCTCACATGCTTATGAAGAGATTGAAAATACCATGGCTTGGGTTAGGCATACCTTAGTTTTCAACAAGACATTTTTGCTATTCAGCACTTGAAAAGAGGTCTTTTGCAGCAAATATGCCCAAGAAAATACATTGTCTGATGTCTTCACTGCTGCTTCCACTGGTGATGACTGCAGACCCAAGTAATATGAAGTCTTCAGCAGCTTCAATCTTTACTCCATTTATCACGATGCTGCTTACTGGACCAGCTGTGAGGATTTTTGTTTTCTTTATATTGAGGTATAATCCACACAGCAAACTACAGTCTTCAACCTTCATTAGTAAGTACTTCAAGTCATCCTCACTTTCAGTAAGCAAAATTGTATCATCTGCGTGTCACAGGTTTTTGATGAGTCTTCCTCAGAGGTCCTTACCATGGTATGTATCTACAAATATTTTATTATTCAGTAACATTG